CAACAACAAATGAAAATGCAATAAATAATATTGTCAGATATGGTTCATCTTGTAATTGCCATGACCCAAATGCTCCATTATCACCTATTAAAAATCAAATGATTGTTATTAAGTATATTTATTATTCTCATTATTTTCAAAACCAAATAGAAATTTACTTGTGAGGAAATTATACATTGCCAGCATTGAGGTAGGAAAATGTGCAAACATGTTTGTGTTTCCATCAGGTTGTTGTACAATAATTGAATTCTGGTCATATGAATTGTTACTTGCAAAATATGTAAAATATTTTGAAGCAAGGTTCCAAGGACTATTGGGATCACCATCTCTGAAATCAGGTAAGTCTAGTGTATAATCCACCTGATTTGGTTTCAAGAAAATGTAAAATGCATGTGAAAAGCTTAAAATTATTATAAATAATAATATTAAAAATGAGAAAACTTTTTTAGCAACTCCTAAAATGATTGCAAAATATCTTCCAAAATATGTAAGCGCTCTTAAAAACAGCATAAATTTGAGATCTAGTAACAAATTGGATAATGAAACCAACACAGTAGTTGATGAACCATAATACAACAATAGAATTGAAGTAACAATTGGTAAGGAATATGCCCCAAGGTCTATTAAATAAATAATAATCATTGTTAAATTATCAAATTTAATTAATTAGCTAATAATAATAACATCATACCAAAATAATTCCATAAATCAGTAATATATTTCATTGGGTTCCAAATAAATTGTCTCAATTCAAAATTAAGATGAAACAACCCAAGGATGATTGTAGTAATTAATAATGAATTTTTATTTTTATCAGATAATTGATCTGGTGATGTAGAGGTTGCAATTGCAAAGCATAATAAAAATGCTGTGTAGAAGATCCAAATCCCAAAATAATATTTGAATCCAAAATTATTCCATTTGAAATCCAAAATTACTTGTCCATTCCAATGTTTGTACAACTCTAAGGTATCTAATTCAATAAATTTACTATCTGCTGGCTTATACAATTCTTTCCAAAATGAATATTCATTATTGTATGTAAGTAATCCAGGATATGGAATTACCGATTTTACACCTGGTTTTCCAGGTTTGTCATCTAATTTTTTATTTATAAAATCCATAACTCTTTTATAGTATTTTCTAATATAATTATGATTATAATAAAAATACCAAAAGCTTTTTTCTTTATAAATTGATTTTTCAACATCTATAGCATTATAAAAATTCTTCTCCTCATTGTAAAAATATCTTTCAAATGGAAATAATATCATTGAAGTTTGTTTAATGAATTTTGATACTAAGGTGTGATGATTTTTTTCTAATCTTGGTAATTCTAATATAATCATTTTTAATAAACTAATATTTAAATCAGTATCTTTTATGAAATGACTAAGACAAGAATCAAATACTTTTTCTACTGCAATACTATGATTATTATCTAATGCTATTTTTAACATTTTCTTTCCAAATTTGTTGAAATTATAAAACTCATTGATCATCTCAAACATTTCTTTATAAGGTTGCCTAGAAATTTGATGGTTATCAATATATGAATTTTCAATATATAAAAAGCAATTTTCAAAATCAAATAAATAATCTTCAATTGCATTATTCTCAATAGCTGATTTAATATCATTCAGGGCTCCATGTTTTTTGACCTTTGTAAATATTTTGAAATTTTGGTTGCTAACTGATAAAATGTTTATCTCATAACCATTTAGAAATAAAATTAAGTCATCATTATTCAGCAATTTATAATAATAAAGTTCATCATCACTTTTAAGACCATATTTATTAATTGTTGGTAATTTTTCATCCATTCCATAATTAATTTTTTGAGCTTTTATATTAACATTTTTAAATTTATCATCATATTCTATTGATCATTTAATTAATTTCCCATTTTCAATGATAATTTCTGCTGGTCTTTCAGGCCACACAGGCTGCTCAAATGTTTTAACCATTTCTTGTAATGCTTGCATTACATGTAAACAATAATTATTTTTTATATGTATTTTTTGTTGAATACCTGCTAATTTTTCTTTGTTGATTATTTTTTTAATGTAAAATTGATTGTCTATAACTATGGTTATTTTGCCATTTGGTAAAATTGGACCAAATAAAATTTTTTTTTTTAATTCATTTTCATTTGTATATTTTAAAAGATATTTATTAAAATACTCTGTAATATCCATAAAATCGCCAAGATTATATGGGTCCATTAATTTATATTTATAACTTTTTGTATTTTTATGATAATATATTACTAATAAATATTCTAATTGATCTGCTGAATAAATAAAATCATATTTTTTCATATCAATATTATTTTCCAATTGAGCTGCAAATAGAAAATATATTTATTAAATTTATGGATTAATATAACATGCAAATAATAAGAATATATAAATACTTACTTGCAGAAATAATAATATTATTTTTTAATGAATATACAACCAATGTTGAACGAATACTATAATATACTGCCATTATTGTTTTATCTTTATTAAATATAATATCAGTATATTTTTTTTTATATACTAAATAACAATTATCTTGATATGACATTGTTATGTCCTTCCATTGTGATATAAATAAATCCTCAAAGCCAATTAGAAAATTGCCAGAATTTACAAATATCCTAGAAACATAATAATTATAACAATATGTTGATTTATGAACCAATTTATCATTTGCATCATTGTCATCATCACCCATATATGAAAAATAGCAAATATTGCAAGAATCACCATTATTCTTAATCATGAATAAATCATTATTTGTAATAAAATACCCATCATTAAAATATGTTTTACCATTAATAAAGTCAATGTATTTTTTTTTTTTTTTTGTAAAGTCAAGAAATTCTATAAGTTAATTTAAATGATTTAAATATTTATTATTTAGTTGTTATAATAATAAAATACATATATCAATTAATTAATAATTGCTTACTATAATATCCTCCATTATAACCAATATAAGGTTTATTATATAAAATTATATATTTGTTATCAGAAACATCTTTTATATAAATACCAAAAGAATCACCTTCAAAATCATCTTTAGAATATTTAAAGCAATTATCTTTATCTGGCTGGATAGTTCCATTGTCATCAATGATCCATTCAACAATAGATGAATCGTTTTTACTATGAGTTACTAAAAACTTTAAATTAGGACTATATTTTATTTCATCAATATCACATCCATTATGTGGATTATTTTGTTGTTGAATAGCATCATCATTTATATCATTTGTATTTAAATTATAATTATCATCTTTTGTAATTGATATTTTATCTTTTTCTGTATTCAATACTGTTACTACTTCTATAATGTCAATATTCTTTTCATCATTTGGGTTAAAATTATTATTTTCTTCCATTTTTTTAATAAATAAAAACTTTTTCAATGTACATATGAAAAAAATTTATTTTTCGATAAAAAAAAAAGACTTCGTATGTTGTTTATATTCGCCCGTTCAGATTATTAAAAAATGCAGTCATCACAATGGCGCACACTTTATAAATAGATGAAAAAAAAAGTATTGTCCGAATTCGTCCGTTTAGAAAATGCAGTCATCATGGCGTACATCTACTTATGCGTTAATAAAGTATAATAGATGAAAAAAAAAGCATTGCCCGAATTTATTAGAGCACCTCAATATAGAAAAAGTATATCCCATCTATGATTTGATTAGAGTGCCTTTATATAGTAATCTGTACCTTTTTTATAAAAAATATTGAAATTAGCCAATAAATTATTTTCACAATTAATATTGAAGAATTAATTTTAAAAGGAACTGCAATCTTCAGGACGAAGTTGATGAATATAAAAAAATGATTTTGCGAGGGTGACCAAGAAAAGGTTTCAGATCGGTAATATCATACAGACTGTAGGGTGATTGTAAGTATATGTATTAATAGCAATATTAACAACTAAAACTACTTGAGATTTCATTTAATTTTTTTATAATGTTAAATTTTTCTCATTTGCTGTTTAGCTAGCATTAATATAATTGATAATGTGAGCGTGCGATCTGAGTTTGGTTAATTAATGTGACTCTAATTATATTGTTCGGACCCCTAGTCCCAAGATAATCGGAGATTCCCGCACTATATTGTTCTTAAAACCAATGGCACTATCTCAAAACTAATGGATTATTGCTAGTATAAGGTATTCATAACGTTATGATCATACTAAGGTTGCTTGCTGAAACCTCTTAGCGACTGTCGAAACTCTGTCGAAACTCTAATGAACAATTAGGATATACCTTGTCAAAACTCTGACAATTGACAAAACCCCCAAACGCGAAACTCTGCCGAAACTCTAATAAACAATTAATGTGTAACATGTCGAATTGATTTCTGGAGGAGTTTCGTCCACAGCCTTAGATCATACCATACTGGATTTTGAGGTTCAAACAAAATCGACGCATTTGTTCAAAGTACATGTTTTGAGAACCTAGTGTTTTGATAATTTTATTAATTGTGTCATACATGGCATTTTATATAGCAATTCAATATGTAGAGTAACGTTGGATATTTACCATGGTGATTATTCTCAATTCTTTTTTATCATGATGATAAGACAAAGGGTTCCGAATCTAAATCATTTTTTTGGTGACATCACTATACTGATATATATAAAATCAATATGGTCGGTTTAATTGGTCAATTTCAATTTCGTCAATTTCGTCACATTTCGTCAAATGGGACGAATTAACAACGGTTTGACGAAATAATTCCCCTCCCTGCAAAGTATTTCGCCAACCATTCTTGGTGGACATGTTTCTGTAAATAAATTCCAAGTCATGTGTGTCCACTAATTTATCAAAAAAAAAATTTTTTAACTTTTTTTTTTAATTCTTAAAAAAAAATGACAACCACTTTTCTTTTTTTTCAAGAGAAAGTAATTAAAGGTCCTCGACTCGGAAAAATGGATTTATTACAATTAAGAGAATTTGTGAAGACTTAATAAAAAATGGGATAGAACAAGAATTAAACAACGTGAGTGAAGATTATGAAGAGGCGAAGGAGAATTTGAAAGAGTGTGAAGAGGAGTGGGGAAAGAGGTTGAAGGAATTGAAGAAAGGGGCGGTGAAAGATTATACTGGTGAGAAGTATGAGTTGAATGAAGAAAAAGAAAAATTGATGAAGGATAAAAGATGAGAGATGGAAGCAGGTGAGGAAATTTCAAGATGCATTGATAGAATTCGGTGGAGAGAAAAGTAATGAACAAATCGCATAAAAAATATACAAAAAATTATTTTCCATTTATTCCATTTTGTTTAACGTTTATATATTGTTCTTATAGCATAATATAGCTTTTTACTCATTCACCATTAACCCAATTATCTTTTTCTATTTTTTATGACTTTTTAACAATGCGAATTAACTTGTTCTTTTATTCAATCAAGAAAAAGAAAACTAGAGGATTCAGATGAGGAAAATGAAGGTTTAAACAAAAAGAGAGAAACTAATATGTACATGTACCTATTACATTGCATGGGAAATACATTCTTGCAATTTATGATAAATGCCACATAATCTTCTAGCTATTATGCATTATATTAATATTTTCTTGTTATTTTCATACAGACCTTAGTCCTGAGTCAATAGCAGAATTCCTAGAAATGCAAGATAGAGTCAAAGAAAATTTTGCAGAACCACAAAAACTATAAAATTATATACAAAATAAATAATAAAACAAAACAATAAAAATGAATTAATGTATTTTCACAATACAAACAAGAATATTCTTTCTGTATACGTATAACCCGATGATACAAAAATGAAAAATAATAAAATATCGCGCAACAAGAATCATCAGATAATAATAACGTGTGATATAAAATTCCAAAAAAAAAATATCATACGTTACTAAAAGTAGTAATGATGATCTTGAAAATGTCACATGAGGCTGATTTACAACAGGTTGGCTGACTTATCAGGGGATTTTAAATAGGGCTGAAAATTTTTGGCCGAGTTGGGCCAAAACCGACTTATCGAGTTATCTATGTACTATCAAAAGCATTAATTTTTTATTTGTTTATTGTTGTTATTATTATTATAAATGAAATTCCTTTTCTGATACATTACCATTACCGTCATTAAAAAAAAATGAACAAGACAGAATGTAAAAATTGGCTTAATGATGCAATTAAAAAAGAATATATTTTATTTCATAATTATGATTCTTTTCAAAACGTTGAAAGAATTGACAATGGTGCATTTGGAACAGTATTTTGTGCATTTTCAAAAAAATATCAAAAGATGGTAGCATTAAAGACTGTTACCGGAAATAGTACTAAACAACTTGTTAATGAAGTAAATATGATTTTTTTATTGAATTATAATTATAAGATATATTTTATGTGTTAATAATATTTTTTTAAAAGATAAAACAACATAAAAAAGTTGATCCTCATGATAATATATTAAGACTTCTTGGTATAACTACAAAAGGTATGGATAGATTTCATTACATGTGCGCATCACCGAAAATTTTCTAACAAATTTATTAATAATATTATTATTATATTAAAGATGGCACTGCTCATATTAATAATTGCATAACACTAGTAATGGAATATGCTACTAGTGGTAACTTATCTGATTATTTAAAAAAAATTTTAGTAGAATGGATTGGAATAATAAATTAAAATTTGCGAGACAAATTGCAAGTGCTGTAAAATGTCTACATGACAATGGTATAATCCATAGGGATTTGGTATGTGTCTAAATATTTAATAATTTAATAATTGTTTTATCTTTGGTTAATTTTTTATCTTTAATTAATTAATTTTATATTTAATAATTTTTTTTACAGCATTCCAGGAATGTTCTTATTCATAATGAAAATATCAAACTTTGTGATTTTGGTATTTCAAAATCTTTATCAGAACCTTCAAATTCGGGACTCAAATTATATGGCACATTACAATATTCAGACCCACAATATTTAAAAAACCCTAATGGATATACTCGTAATAAAAAATCTGATATATACAGTATTGGTATATTATTCTGGGAAATTTCCAGTGGAAAAGTACCATTTGAATCTGAAACATCTGCAGGGTTTAGTTTTGTATTTTCTATAGTAAATGGTAAAAGAGAAAAAATCATCGAAGGATCTCCAAGAAAATATGTAGAAATTTATACAAGTAAATAATTTTTGAATAATTCAGTATTTAAATATTATTATATTTATATTGATTTATTTTTTTATTTTTTAAGCTTGTTGGGATAATAATCCGGATATTCGTCCTGATATACAAGAAGTTGTAAATAATTTGGATGATGTAGATATTACTGATACTGTTAATAACATAATTCCATTGCCAAAACCTTTTGATATAAATAATCATAATAGAGAACAACACGAAAACAGTATAAATATTGATGATGATTTGTATAATCATATTAATGAATTAAATACACAACTCCAAAACACTTGCACTTCTACACCAACTACAAATGATGATGATGATGATGGTGGTGGTGGTGGTGGTGGTGGTGGTGATGATGATGATGATGATGATGATGATGATGATGATGATGATGATGATGATGATGATGATGATGATGATGATGATGATTGTTATTATGATTATGATTATTATGATTATGATGATTATATAGAATCAAAGGAAATAAAATCAAATAAACAATTTCAAAACACTGACACTTCTTCATTAACCACAAATGATGAAGTAGATGCGGATGAAGAAGACGAGCAAGAATTCGGTGATGACAAAGAATATTATTACAGAAAAAATGAAGATGATGATATACAGCTTATGACGAAAGAACAAAATGAAATAATATCAAATCTAAATAGTTTTCTTAATGAAATGACACGATTATTCTTGGCCAGAATAGAAACTAGTAAACCTAAAAAAATAGCCAAAGAATTAAAAAATTATATGATTTTAAACAATATAAATCATACTGAGTTATTTAATGTTATTTATACTGATTATATAAATGATTTAAATATAAAAATCATGTTAGGATTTCTCTGCCAATATGGTATAGGCGTAAAAAGAGATGAAGAGAAGGCATTTGACATATATACAAATTTATTATTGTTAAATTGTAAAGAAAGTAAAATTATCTACTACTTGCTTGGAATGTGTTATCAATATGGAACTGATATAAAAAAGGAATATTGTGAGGCTTTTGAGTGTTATTTAAAGTCAGCTGAAGAGAAAAATAGTAATGGACAATATAGACTTGGATTTTGTTATCAATATGGAATTGGTACAAAAAAAAATTATAACAAGGCTTTCCAATGGTATTTAAAATGTGCAGAAAATCAAAATAGTGTTGGTGAATATAATATTGGATGTTGTTATCAATTTGGAATTGGTATACAACAAGATTATGAAGAGGCTTTTGAATGGTATTTAAAATCAGCTAATCATGAAGATAGTGATGGTCAATGTAATGTTGGATATTGTTATCATTTTGGAATTGGTATAGAAAAGGATGAAAATAAGGCTTTTGAGTGGTATTTAAAGTCAGCTGAAGATGAAAATAGTAATGGACATAATCAACTTGGACATTGTTATCAATATGGGATTGGTAAAGAAAAAAATTATAATCAAGCTTTTCAATGGTATTTAAAATCTGCAGAGAATCAAAATAGTGTTGGTCAATACAATGTTGGATATTGTTACCATCATGGAATTGGCATTCAACAAGATCTTGACAGGGCTTTTCAATGGTATTCAAAATCAGCTGAAAATGGAAATAGAAATGGTCAAAATCAACTTGGATATTGTTATCAAGATGGAATTGGTACAGAAGAAGATACCTACATGGCTACAAAATGGTTTAAAAATGCTTCAAATAACAAGCGAGATAATTGGAATATTTCTATAGAAGAAAATACAACTATTGGTTCACATAAGATACCACTCCAACCACCCACAATAAAAAGACCTAACATAAAGAATTTTAATATGGGAGATTTTTTTAATGAAATATTAGAATTATTTATGACTAAGATAGAAATTAATAATCATCATCATGTAACTAAAATTTTGATGAATTATATAACCCAGAATGATGCAAACTCAATTGAGTTATTTGATTATATGCAAGATTGTGATGATGATGTTAATGTTAATAATATAAAGCTTATATTGGGATTTTTTTACCAATGTGGAATAGGTACCAAAATAGATGCAAAAATAGCATTTAATATATATCTGAATTTATCAAATTATGGTGTAAAAGATAAAATTGTTGGCTATTTACTTGGATATTGTTATCATCATGGAATTGGAATACAACAAGATCTTAATCAGGCCTTTCAATGGTACTTAATATCAGCTGAAAATGGAAATAGCAATGCTCAACGCAATGTTGGATGTTGTTATCATTATGAAATTGATGAAATCAGGGATTATAATAAGGCTTTTGAATGGTATTTGAAATCAGCTGAAAATGGAAATGGAGGTGCCCAATTCATTGTTGGGTTTTGTTATCATTATGTAATTGGTGTAGAAAAAAATTATGGTAAGGCATTTGAATGGTATTTAAAATCCGCAGAAAAAGGAAATAGTAATGGTCAATATAGTGTTGGATATTGTTACCATTATGGAATTGGTACAAAAAAAAATTATAATAAAGCTTTTCAGTGGTATCTAATGTCAGCTGAAAACATGAATAGTAATGGTCAAAATAGTGTTGGATATTGTTATGAAAATAAAATTGGCACAGAAAGAGATGTTGATAAAGCTACTAAATGGTATAAAATGGCTTCAAGGCATGGGCATTCAAATTCAAATATTGAAATAGTACAAGTTAAAAAAACTACAACCATTAAAAAATTTTTTAAACTTTTTTGAAAAAATATTTCATTTATTTATTTTGTTGATATTAGATTATTTATTAAGAAAAATTTTGTATAATATTATTTCACAGAACCAATATAAATAAAACTTTGGAGCACATTTACTAATTAAAAGAAATGATTGACTGTGTTTGTTAAATTGTTATGTAATATACCAAATTTATATTACACTAAAATTTATGCAAAACAATGGAAATCCAAAAAAAAAATTTTTGTATAAGATATTGGGCATGCAACAGCCATCCTGGATGTCACTGAAATTGTTCATTGCACACCCAATATTATTTAATAAAAATTTAGAGAAAGTTATATAGGTAGTTGCCATTTAGAAGGTTTAGGCTAATATTTTATATATATACATAGTAATAGTAATAGGTTGTAAAATAATAAAATTGGATGATCAGCATCTTAGTAAAATTTCGTTTGATGCATCCAATTGTAAGAAATAATTAATATTTATAATATTTATAATATTTATAATATTTTAAAGTTTTTCTTTTACATTTCATTTATTTCATTTCTACATAAATAATGATGATTAAAATAATTAAATAATGCAAGCAAGCAGCAATAATATACAAATTGTCAAAAAGAAGAGAGATATTTAATATTATTATTAAAATGTGTCAACAAATTGTGATTAAAATCAATATAAATAACATTACTAAATATTAACTATAAATAAGTTTTGAGTATTATGTGCAATAAAATCCAGACTTTCTTTTGAATTTAAGATCACTCAATTCAATCAGTACTTATCAAGATACAAAATATATGGTAATAGGTAAAGAATTACCACCTATCATACAATTAGATAAAGCATTCATCAAGTATATTTACAAACTTGCTTTTCAAGCTTATTAGATCTCATTTAGTGTTGGTTAATTAGTTTTAGAGAGATTTATAAAAAAACAGTTTTATGAAGTAATGGCAACATGATTTTTTTAAATATTTACTTTTGTATCTATTTTTATATTAATATTTTTTGGGAATTGTTATTCGCACCCCTCCCGTGACTAAGTGTAGTAATGTGACCAAAGAATGCCTTTAAAATGTGATGATTTTATTGGTTCATCTTTGTCTTAGTCACGGGAGGGGTGCAAATAACAATCCGTCTATGAGTGAGTTGTACATAGCAGGGCTGGAAATAGTACTTTAAAATCCGGATTTTCCTTTAAAAAATTTTAACTTCTGGAAAAAAAAGAGTTGCCGGATATTTTTCCTTTTCCTTTTTATTTTTTTTTGTACAGATTTCCCATCCACATAAAAAAAATTTATACTAAATAATGTATACATATATGTGTATCAATATTTTAGAAAAGAACCATAATTTGTATCCTTTGAATTTTCTGAAGAAAAGTATTGACTTAATTAAATCTTATTTCACTGCCATTAAATTATTAAATTTAAAAATATATACACTTTAAATATGAATTTATGTGTATTTGTTTTCCCTTATTTAAAAAAATAAATTATAAATAAATAGTATAGAATAAGAGGAATTAGATAATCTAACCACTGAAATTTGGGATGAAGCATTTATGAATGAAACAGATATAGAAGGTTCAGATGATTTGACAATTCAAGGCTCAGATAATGATGATACTTCAAAAAGATCAAATAAAAAAAAGTGAATTAAGTGAAAACCATATTAAAATGTCAAATAAAAAAGTGCATTTTAAAAATCAGGAAGAAGTTTTCATCATGAATGGCTAAACACATATAAATGGTTAAAATATGATGCAGCAATGTTGTATGTGAATTGCGAATTCACATAATTTCATTTTCATGTACAACAGCAATAAAGAGAATGTTTTGCCATTAGATGAGTTGGAATACCTGCTACCAGAACCACTTTTTAGAACAAGTGGATATTCTTGGGATTATCAAAAATCAAATGAATTGAGGGAACTGTTAAGAACAACCATAACTGAATACTACAAAAATTACACAAAACAGCAACTGGATAAAAGCACCACACCACTATTTTTTATGATTGCTGGTGCAGGAGAAGGAAAATCTAGGAATGCAAATGAGTTACCAAATATATTGCATGAAGAGTTTGCTTCCCATGAAGAACTGAAAAAACGATTTGAAAATGCATTAGTATTTAACATCTCTTTTGAAAATGGCACTAAAATAGACCTATTAGAAGAATGTAATGCTGTAACTGCCATTGCAAAACGAATGCTTTTTCAGCTAGAAAAACATAAAGGTGGCTGGATGGAAGCACTTCGAAAATATCCAGATGTATCACCAGATGAAGTAGTGTCAAAGATTGCTAAACATCAAAATGTCCAACCTAAGGATTTGACCATCATTATTGTGATTGATGGGATGCAAGCAGCAATTCACCAGGAAGATAATGGAGTAAATAAATCATCACTATTCTATTCATGTATGACAGTTTTGAATAACTTTGCTGCATCAGGACCATTTGTGATAGGATGTTCCACAGCAACACTTAGCAGACCTTTTCATGTTTTTGTGAGTGCTTCACATCAAAAGCGAGTGTTTTTACCAATACCATCTTTATCACCACCAAAAAGACAATGAATGCCTGTTTTTGTTAACAATAATCTTATTGACATGCTTGTTAGTGATATGGGAGGTCATGGTCGGGCATTAGAAGCACTAGATGAAGCTCTTAATGATAAAGATTTAGAAAAAGTTAGCTTTCTAACCATAATGGAAGGTGTTTATGCAAAATTATCAGATTTTTACAATGAATGGATTAGCCAAACATCTTATTTGAAGCCAATTCTTCGTATAATTCTAACACAAGTTATAGTAGAAGCAAATAAAGTTATTCCAGGGACTAACTTAAAACCAGAAGACTTTTCAAAACTGGGTCTAATTAAGTTTGAAAATGAAAGATTGGGGACGTCTAACCTGTCCATACATATGGCTTTGGCTTTTATCAAATGCATCTGAGGACCCCACATTACAGAGCTGGAATTTTAAATACTACCAAGAAGTTCAACACAATGAAGATTTATCAGTACCTCCTGGATGTCAATACTGGCAGCATTTTGAAGAGTTTATTGGAAGGATTCGAGTTTTAAAATCATAGGTTTTTGATCCTAATCAACACGTTGACTTAAAGGAACTTCATAGTGGAGCATGGCATAATTTTGGTGACATAAAGATTATAAACAAAGCCTTAATACTAGAGAAAGCTACAGTATGGACCAGTACAAAATCAAGTAGTGGTACAAGGACAGTGCAATGTGAAAAGGTTAATGTACAATTGGCAGAAGCATCCCATTGTATCATTAATAAACTTAAGGTGCCTTATGGAAATTGCTTTTGTCCCATTTACATTGCTAATTTGCAAAATTTCAGTGTTGAGAGTTATCAGTGTAAATTCATTAAAGCATCTGCAGCAATCAATGAACAATTGTTTATGGAAGAATATAATAAGGCAGCTGAACCTGAGACAGATGTGTTTATCTTGTTCACAACTGGAAAATGTGATATCACATCACTTCCACCAAGGTCAGCAATTGTGAAGTGTGGAATTCATATTTTGGCCCTTTTTCTGGGTGTGCCTTTATTTATTCCCAACAAAATCCACCAAATATAAATAAAGCAGTTTACACTGTTCTGACAGCAATAACAGGGATTGGTACAAAACGTGCAGATGTCATAATGGATGAATGAAAAAAATGTCAATTTACAGATATTGAAGATTGCAATAGGTGAACAAAAATACCAAAAGATGTATTAACAAATTTCCATTTTTAGATTAAATCTATTCCTATTTTTTATACCTCATATTTTTCTGATTCAAGTGTCCTTTTTCATTGTGTTCTGTATCAAAAATTTTATTTTATCATTTTTTCAACTGTTTTATTAAACAATAATAAATAAAGATTATCCTTTATTGCTCTAATTGAATTTTTATTATATAAAGAAATTTGAAAATGCTCATTCCACAAAGACCAACTTAATTGAAAAACCTTACAAAGTGAACATAAAATTATATGTATAGGAATAAGTGTATATGAAAAGTAATAATAAGTATAATGATTCTAATGAATATGAAAAAGCAATTGATTTTTTAGAAAAGGTTTGTAAATGTGGTTGCTCTTCAAGAATTCCCAAAGAGCAATTTGCAGAATTAAGGGAATCCTTTCAAGCCCTCTCTAAACCAGAACAAGACATATTTTTGATGGCACAACTTAAAGCCATGAATAGTGGATCAATAAGTACTAGTAGATGCCCTAAAAAGAAAAATAGATCTAACAAAAGAACTTTTTATCACTGAGATTACAATACACCTCTTTGTCAAGAAACTTATCTAAATATGCTAGGAATTGGCAGAACTTACTTTGAAAATATAGAAATCATCTGATAAATAATGGTCTTCTACCAAGAATTCATGGTAATATTAAAAGAATGCCTCAATGGAAAACTAAAATGGTGATTGA